TTATTTAACATAATTTAAGTACAGGGAAACTAGTTTTTTGGGGGCCAAACAGCCTGTCAACACACCATACAGGTGTCAGTCTCTGTGTCTTTTCAGTGGAGGTAACATCTTGCTTCAGACTCTCTTCAACATAAATGTTTTTTTTTGTGTTTCCAGTCAAATTATTGGTCATTTTGAAATTTTTTTTACATATTGACAATACATAATGCAGTGCAGTGTTGATTTAAAGAAAATAATCTTGAATTACACCAAGCGAACTAAAATTTTATGGGTGAAATGGTGCCATGGGGTGACTTCTCTTCCACCCCAATGCCTTCTCTTCTCCCTTCTCCTCCACCCTCATTCTAATTCCCATCATCATCATCATCCAGGAGCCTTCTACATACGCACCACAAAGTAAGTGTACTTTACTACCTTTTTTGTTGACTTTAGGCAATTTTCGGTGAGCTGGAACCAATTACCAAAAAACCCATTGAAACAATGGTTTCGGTTAATGAATTTTTCGGTTAACGAGCAACCTTCTAGAACAAATTGTGCTCGTTAACCGAGGGACCACTGAGCCAGAAAATACTTAATTTAAAAATATTTTATACGACCACGGCGGTCGTATGTCCGGGTTGTCGTAAGTCGAGGAGAGACTGTACATAGATTTTGCCAAGGCTTTTCACAGTGTACCCCATGAAAGACAAAAAAATAAAACTGGAAGGGTACGGGATTCTGGGAAATATCCTAGCATGGATCAGAGGCTTTCTCCATGACTGCAAGCAGTGTGTGGTGATTAATGGCACAAAATCATCATGTGTACCCGTCACAAGCGGGGTACCACAGGGCAGTGTATTGGGTCCGCTGTTGTTTGTTTGCTTCTTAAATGATATGCTTGACGCTGTACACTCCGCCATACAAATGTTTGCCGATGAAGCCAAGTTATTTCGGTAAATTAATAACCAAGCAGACTGTGAAGAACTGCAGAAGGATTTCTGTGAGCTCCAAGAATGGTCGAAGAAATGGCTGCTAAGATTCAATGTCATGAAGTGTAAGAGGATACACCCGGGACGTACCAACAGTAAAGAGGCGTATCATATGTCCCACCGGGACGGAGAAACTGTATTAATTGACACTGAATGTGAAAATAACCTAGGTGTTTATGTTGACAATGAGCTGAAGTTCTCGGGCCATTGCGAGAAGAAGGTAAATCAGGCAACTAAATTGTTAGGTCTTATAAGAAGGTCGTTCAGATATCTAGACGGTCCGTCCCTCGTAACAATCTTCATGAGAGAAGTGCTTCCTCATCTGGTCCCTAAGATGTGCTAGGGACTGTCAGTTGATTGAAAATGTCCAAAAGAGGGCCACCAGACTGATGCCTGCACTACAGCACCTCAGCTACCATGAGAGATTGGAGTGCCTGAACTTGCTTAACTTACACTACAGACAGGCAAGGGGAGACCTAATTGAGGTGTATAAGCATCTCAAAGGGCACTACTCAGTCAAGTGCCCTTACCTGGAGCTGGAGGACTCTTGCCCCACAGGGGGTCACAGCTCAAGGTTGAAGAAGCCGCAAGCCCAGAAAACTGAGGTGTAACTTTTTCGGAGTGAGAGTTGTGAACTCTTGGAATAATCTGCCAGAGAGTGTTGTGATGGCACCGAGTGTGAGCTTTTTCAAGATTTGACAAGCACTGGAGCAGGTTCAGATACATTCAGGAGCCGGTGCATGCCCAGTATTTGCCAACAGTGCATAACAGATATGTGACCGATCACCCAAGCGGCTAATGAGCCAATCAGTGGTGAAGAGGATTAAGGTAACTCTATTATAGAGAGAATGGTATTGATAAATTTCATGTAAGTCTAGAAAATCATCCTCTTTCAGAAACTTTTTTCGAGACATTGTCACCATAACGAGGTTGTATAGCCTGATACGGTAGCGGCTTTTGAAAACTAAACACTTTCCCTGTAAATAGGGAAAAAATATTACATTACACAACCATCACTTCACTTTACTTCTCTAACACCAAAAATAAATTATTTCAGGAGTTGGGTAAGCACTGAATTCCAGTTGGAGTTGAGGCAGCCTGCACAGAGTTATGGAAATTTAAATGGACACTGTTCACACTCATGGTCTGACTGCGGAGATAATACTGCGCACTTATTGTTCTGATCTTCCCTTCCTATGGGCCTCGAGAGTGGTATTTAGTTTATTTGATAGAACTTACTTGTTACTATGACGCATCAAAATTTGACGTAATTCTGTTGAAAACTTAATTTTTGGCAAATTTTTTAAAGTTTGGCGACTCGATTTGCGTCACAGTGAAGTTGATCTGGTCTTATCACAAATACAACGTGAATCACGTCAATATGTGTGAGAGGGTTTAAGAAATGATTATTATAATGACAAAAACATAGAGAATAAACATTACATTCCTGGAGTTAGCTTGAATCATGGGAGCAGGTGGTGGTTCAGCACCAGGTTCTTGGGCAAGATGTGAGCTGCATTATTGTTATTTTTCAACTCATATTTTCTGGTAGATATACATAATTTTCTTTTTTTCTTCTTTACTCTGTTACATGCACACACAATCCTTCATACAGAATGTGAAGAAGAAAAATTTTCATTAAATCAAAAACATAAGAGGGATTAAACATTTACAGGTTGACAATCCCTTATCCGAAATCCTTGGGGCCAGATGTAATTCGGATTTCGGAATTTTTCGGATTTCAGAATTTTCTTTTTTATTTATTTTTTTTACAGGGATCAGCCCACCCGGGCACAGGTTACTGACCCACATTGGGGCCTGGGGGATGAGACTGTAATAATAATATTAGTAATAATAATAATAATACAGGCATCCCCAGCGTTACGGAACCCCGGGTTGCAGAATTTGTAAATTATGACCAGTAATTTTGCGATACGGCCCGTAAATCTGCCCTTACGGAAATTGGGGTAAATTTTAACAATTTAAAAAAAAAAAAAAAAATGCAAAATAAAATAAAAAATTTTTGTTAAAAATTATAATTTGTTTGGTGTGGATTTCTTGGTGTTTGTCACAGCCACGAGGAGTCACTCCATTTTTTACATCCAGTGTGCGCGAATGTTTCTCGCCCCAGCAGTTGGATTTAACTTTTACAAACATACAGTAAGTACAGTACAGTGCATTACCCTTATTCAAGATGACTGGAAAGAGGCCATCAAGTGGAAGTGACCGCAGTAGTGCAAAAATAAGCCGCAAAGGCATTACATTGGATATTAAACTTGATGTTTTAAGAAGGTATATCATAAATTATTTAATGTACTGTATTGTATGTGTTTATAAATGTTTATTTTCATTCATAAAGTGCTTGAATTACTTTTTTGGGGCCAAAAAAATTCCTTAGGAACGCATCTCCAGTTTTATAATGGAAGTCAATGGAAAAATAGGTTTTGCTTTACGGAATTTCGTGATACGGTCAATTTTCCAGGGACGCAACCCTTCCGTAACGCGGGGGATGCCTGTAATAATTCATAGATATTGGTCGTGTTTCTCACTTGTGATATTTTTTCCATTCTTGCAGTTCTTTATTATTATCATTATTATTTTATTAATAATATTATTACTATTGTTATTATTTTATTTTTGTAATCTTTTATTATAAATTTTATTTACTGTGAATTATTATTACATTTTCGCCCCCCAGGCCTCAACGTGGGTCGGTGACCTGTGCCCGGGTGGGCTGATCCCTGTAAAAAAAAAAAAAAAAAGTATTCATATATTTTGCTCCACTGAAAAACTTTCAGTCTTCAGAGGTTCTCGGTTTTTGGAATTTCGGATTAGGGATTGTCAACCTGTATTACATGTGTGGGAGTTAGCACAAAAAAGTGGAGAGAGTGAGGTTCTCTCACGGCTCTGCAGGAGACCTGGGGGTCCAGACAACCCCTCCCCCCCTCTTTTCATCAGAAAATTCCAATACTTATACTTTAATGTGGTATTGTACTCAGGCATTTTTATATTGTAAAATGTAACTACTACTGACATCAGAATATCTCCTAATATCAAGTGTACATAGCTTCAAAATGCCCATGATATTGGACGATTAAAAAAATAAATAAAATTCTGGGGGGGGAAGAGGCTTATAGCACCTGGCCAAAACTTCCCAGCTGGGTGGGCTTGCTGCACTCACCATGTTCCCCCACCCACAACTTTTTGGACACATCCCCCCTTTGATATTCCTAGACCTGCTCCAGATCTGCTGTCTCATGTTAATGACAAAATTGCCAAATGACAATGCAGTATTTTTCTGTCCTTTTAACTATTTCTCACATTTACTGATACATTATATATTATTTTATGTACAAAGAATAAGTTCTTCCACATGCAAGCCATCCTAAGGTCGGAGTGACACATTCAACAGCTTAGCCTGGCAGTCACCGGGGACAACTTTGAACCTCCTCCGTGGGTCGTACGTATTATGCCCTCCCATAAGGAAATGTACTAAAGTTAAACTTTATTTTTTCCAAGTGTTAGGTAGTAAATTAGAGTAGTTGTGTACTATTTACCATTAGTTATGAAGGTTTTGTTCTTGTTTGTGAGCTGATTTTGTGTTTTTGGGGAATGATAGTGGATCATTTTTGTCATTAGGGAAACAGTCTATTTTTACTACATGTGTATCAATCTAATACAAAATTTCATCCAACAATTTTGCTTTTTCTAACATAACTCAATCATATCTTGAGGGATACCTGTATCAGAATTTTGCAAAATATCAAACATTGTTCCCTAATTATCAAACAACTTTATATAGAAACGACGCTGTTTGGCACGACGTAAATCAGTGAATATCTGTACAGTCTTACCCTTTTCCTGTTAATTTCTAGTACATGACACACCTCAATCAATTCCCCAATGACTGAGTTTTCTGTACCTCTTGATCTACACAACAAAAATGTAAGAGATGACTAAACATAATAAATAGACATAAAGAGGGACTTTGGTTTTCTTATACAACTAGGAATGAATATTCTAGATACATACTGAGTAGCTTTTCTAAGCTGGCCATATTTTCCATCAGCACTGAACGCAGTCGCTCCATTTCTCGATCACTGTCTATGTGAATTTTTAGGTCACATTCCAAATAGTTTGAAACAGCACTACAGCCTGGGGCATGTTCACTTGTGGACTTGCAGCTGGTGATTGAGTGCAATATATATTAATGTCATCTGCACAAACAACAATCTATGACAATAAAAATTTCATGTCATTACATACTTCATAACATGGCATATTGATAACAAAATGGGAATTAAAAAATGCAATATAATGAGATTCTTGAATCATGGCCTGCATTAACAACAAAGTATGAATACCCTATACCATATAAGGAATACTTTACTTTTACAGTCAAAAGTTTTAAAGAAATCATTTAAGTAGTTAGAGAAAAAGAGAAGGACAGTGGCAACTTGGCTCCCCTTGTATCAATGACTTCAAATTTAATAGTGACTCCTTTTAGTATCAGTGGTAATTGAAATCTACTATAATTATTAAAATCATCTGGAAATAATAAAAAAACAACAAAAACTTATCAAAACTATTGAAAAAGGCAAGGATCAAAAAAGAAAATGCTTTATATGTTTGGTCTAAATCATTTTGTTTAAATTGGCCAACCCACACTAACTAGTATAATGCAACAAGCTGCTCTATTAACCTTTAAATATAATTTAATTGATTGCTTGTGAATATACATGTGTATGGTAAAAACAAACAAAAAACAATGCCACTTACCATAGCCAAATGGAGTTGATATATGCTCCTGGATGATACTGTTTCAAGCGATGGCTGTTATACTGGCACACTTTAGTAAGGAGATCCAGCCACTCCTTCTCTTCCACACAGTTCGTTGCCTAAAGAAAAGTATTTTCAATGCTGACTTTCAGTATATAAAGCAAATTCAGCAAACCCCTGATTCAACCAAGTTAGTTTCTTAGAAAACCCCGATCCAAAGACTTAAAATGTGAAAACTTAAAATTCTGCTTCCATATTTATAATTATCCAAGTAAAAATATGAATTGCATAATAATTACCTGGATGTAGAGTGTCCTATTTGGTTGAACTAGTTGGAACATATTTTTTATTTTGAACGACGATTCCTGTACTCTTTCCACTGCCAGGATCTCATCTACAGGGATTGCACATAAAGGGGTTCCACCTAAAAATAAATGAATACTGTATAAGATGCAAAACTACAGTTTCTCCATTTTTTTTACCATGAAATTTGGCCAGAAATTAGTTACATGTTGAGCCATTTTCATTAAAAGGGGATGTTGAGTTATCACCATCCATCCATTCATGAAATCCAACACAGGTTTCTATTTAACAAATAAAGAAGACTTACACAAACCTCATCTAAATTTACAGGGAGTTTAAGTATTATAAGAAAAAAATCTTAGGAGCTAACCTTCTGTCTTAGAATATGAGAGACTGTGAGTTGTTAGTCTGAAGAAACGAGTTTTGAAATTCTTGATGCCAAATTTTTTTCTTCCTTGTGCTCGTTTGATCATTGTTCTGCAAGTAGAAAGGGATAATATTAAATGGTAATTTTTCTAATTACAGTACAGTACTCAACAATTTCAATGGTAGACATATTCAAAGTTACATTGCAATTACAGTACAGTACAGTTTTTATGTAAAAAAAGAAATAAAATAAAATAAATATATAAAATAAAATAAACTAACCTTTATCACTCCTCTGATGGCAAGTAAAGAGAAAGATAAATTACACATTTTGACTAAAATATCAGTACAGTAACTTACTAGAAAGAAACTTTGATAAATGGGTAAATATCTCTTACACTAATCCTTTAATCATAAAAAAAAATATCTATTTCTTCATTAAATCGATTATTAAGGACATCTGACAATAGATGTAGGGATGCCCGGTAAATGAAAAACAATAATATGATGCATTTGAAAACTAACACCTTTGAATGCAAAAACAGTACAGTACAGTACAGTACTTGTTATTTTATATATAAAAAATCCTTAAAAAAAAACTGATGGCTTACTGCACATCCTTTATACATGTTTTACTGGCATCTGATATTCACCAGAAATGTGTGGAACTTACCCTTCCTTAAGTATAAGTGGAGTGTCATAGGCTTTCTGGCCTCCATTGGGAATTGACGAGATTATTTCCAAAAACTAGAGAGAGAAAAACAGATTAGTTCCAGAATAAACAATTCAATTTCCATGTGTGTCCTACTTGTGCAACAAAGACATTTTTTAACAAACACAGCATCAGGTTTACTGTAGTGAATGTGATAATGACTATGCCAGTGTACTGCAAAACAAGAGAAATTTTTTTCAATATGGTACAGTAATCTATTTATGGTGAAATATGTACAGTCAACCCTCGCTTTACGCGGTCCCACATTCCGCGTTACCACGTTTACACGGTACCCTGCCGAAACCGGAATGCTCACATTCCGCGGTGCGTGTACCCCTTTACGCAGAGAGCGGCTGGAGAGCCGCGCCATTTTTGGATCCAAACCTCCCGCCATCCGCCATGTTGTGTAAGTGGCGCGAGCAGGGTGCGCACAAGGTCGCCCAGTCATCAAAACATTACCGAGTTCTTCACCTGCCACCCACCACAGCCGGCCCAAGTCAGTAATAGTGATAATTATAGTGAGGATATGGACATATATGGACTTTGAGGGGTTTGACAAAGAGGCCCTGCAAGCCTCTGTGGTGGATAGTGCTACAATTGATACAAGTGATACAGGTGAGGGCCAATAATCTGCCCTCTGCCTCGGAACCAACCCTCCATCCCCGTGTGCCCAGCCATCTTTTCTACTAATGTAAGTGTTAAAAACCTAATATTATTGATATTTCTCTTTAATTATTAATTGTGTGTGCATACAATCATAAAATTAAGAAGTTATTTTTACTACAACGTAGGTATTGTGTCTGCAAAAGTGGAGTTTGGGGGTCGGCCCGGTCTCTATTTCAATTAATCCCATATGTTATGTTGTTCACTTTCCGCGGTACCCTGTGGGTTGAATTAACCGCGTAAAGTGAGGGTTCACTGTACTGCTTTGTCACCAAAATAAGATGCCCTATCTTTTTTACCTACAGTATTCTTATTTTGAATTCTTTCTACTTTCCATTATATTTCTATGTATTTCTTCCTTCTTTCATTACTCCCTACTTGCACCTAGCACTAGGTACTGTATACCCTTCCCATCTCCTAAATTTGCACCATCGTCATCTTCTTCCTACATCGTTTGCCTATTCTTATTTTTCATTATTATTCCCTTAAACCCACAGGCCTATTCCATTCTCAAGGATTGCTCTCTCAAATGGTCCGATTCATCTTCAACCTCCCGGACATACAACACCTTATCTGAATCACTTCCTTCAATCTTTCTCCCACACTGCTTTTCTTAGCTCAATATATTTTATTCCCCTTTTCTCACATCTTAAGTATTATTCACTCTAAACCTTTCATACATTATTTGTCATATTTCTACCAGATAATGGCTAGCTTCTCCAACCTCAGCTCATCTTAGTATATCCACATTAATCAACTTCCATTTCAATCTTGTCCTTCCATTACATAAGCTAACAATATTCTATCTTCTCCATTGTCCCATCTCTATGCATACTTATGATTTTTTTTCTAACTGTACTGTATGTTTAACTAAATATCAATCTTCTCTCAACATCTTGCAGTTTCACTACATTCCGTTCAATTCTTGCCCTCCACACTTCCCTCAAATCTCCTTTACTTCCCTATCACCAATTTTCTTATTCAAATTCTCCATTAATATCACTACTGTATATCTCTTACACTAAAGCTTTCAATACAAATACAGTATACAAGTTTTCCAAAATCTTTTTCTTTCCCATCCCATGGTACATGTTTACTTATGATAACACATCTTTTGCTCCCTAATAATGTGAGTAAACCCTTTATATTAAATGAAACAACTTCACAGTTCATCACAATTACAAAACCACACACTTCTAGCCTTACTTAACCCCAGTTCACCTCCCCCCTTTGTTTTTGTTTTATCTTTGTTTCACACAAAACCAAGATATTCTTTCAATCACACCTCGTCTAATCACCCAAATTACAGTCATACACATCAAAACTGCCTTGCCCTTTTTTTTCTGTTTTCTCTCTCCCACTTCCTTTTGTTAGCTGAAGACAAGGTGGGGTTACCAACACCATGTTTCCAAGATGATAACAGCTCTCTTGCCTATACCTGTATATATTACAATACAATACAGGAATACCCCGGTCATCGCAAGGGATGAGTTCCTAAAAGTCATTGCAATTAATGAAACTGAATATTAGGGCAATTTTCCCCATAATAATTAATGTAAATGGGGGATATGCGTTTCCAGCCGGCAACTTTCACCACACATTTTTTTTTACATATACTGTACAACTGTACAGTATTCCTCATAATGCATGGCTATTAGGGACCAGGCAATCAAAGGTTGGCCTAGCAAGGGGAGAGGTAAGGAGATGTAGCGACAGTGGTTGGCGACCTGCCAAGTCCACACACACACACACGTTCATTAGTCCGGGTTTTACTTGGGCCCCACACGGGAGAATGCACGTGTTCACACGGACGTGTTTTTCATGCTTCAGTTCACCTGTATATGACAAAAATAATCACAGGCACTTCCAGCCCCTACCATGTTCATTATATAAAAATTTCTAGAACACTCGGTGTATTTTGGAAGAACAAGTACAGGCATGGGGTGAGTGTCTCTCGCACGTGAATTTTCATGCGCTTTCTGTCCCATTGAACTTCATTAATTTCTAAACCTCATGGGTCTGTATGAGCGAAAAAAACATACACACAAAAACAAGCAATCATGTGTGATGCGGGCCTTACGTCATAACATAAAGCTGCGGTTAGCTCACCCAGTTTGAAATATTACTGTAGGCCATCATCATTTTTCATATGCGAATGAGAGGGGTATACCTTGCGAATATCGATTAGGGGTGTTAAAATATCAATTGTAAATAAGCAAAATTGCAATTAACAGGGTTGCAAATAGCGAGGTATTCCTGTATTACTAATAAGTAAAGTTATAAAGATAACTTACCGTGCGCATCCCTTCAACGTGCTTATCTGTAACACAATAACCGAAGACCTCTCGCATGTATATCTCTCTAAAGTTTGGATGAGACGTTCGAGAGCTAACCAGATTCCCAACACTTTGAACTGTTTTACTTAACAAAGTAAGTGTTCGGTGTGTTGCAGGATCCTGAAATAGTTGAAAGAAATCATTAATAGAATGTAATTATAAAAATTAAAATAATAATAACAACACCAAGAATGAAGGAGGATAAGAAGTGAGACGATTATTTTCTCTTGTGATAGACCACACCCACAAGGTGAGCTTTTTCAGGAAAGAATTAAGATAAAATAATATTTTAACTCTAATATATCATTTCCTGAACTTATAAAACAAGTGTATGCTGCTATTACAACTGAAATTTTCCACTTAGAAATCCAACTAATCATAAGTGAAAATAAAGATGTGCCAGTCAATATACTATACATGACATAAGTAACAGAGTTAAAGGATAAAGTCAATTTTATCAAATGATGCTTTTCTCAACTTGGATTACCGGTATGGATTTCCAATGTTTCCTGTACTTCATCTGATCCATACAATGGCTGCTAGATATTAACTTTTTGTTTCATTGTATGTCCAGGTTTGCAATAGTAAAATTACGTTGTTTCATGAACACAAAACAAAAATTACATAAAATAAATAAATATCTTACAATCTGTTCTGTGGTGAGGTCAAAGAGCTTTGGGTGAAGAATAGCTGGTGCAAAGAATCTGAGGAAGACGAAGCCAGATATGACAGAATACCTGACTTCTCTCTCATCTGTTGAAGAAAAATATAAATTTTGAGTTATTTACCATCTGATTTCAGCAACTAATATTTTTCACAGCTATTAATAAATGCAATGCCTTCCATATCAATCAATTCATCTAAGTATATTAAAAAAGTACTGAATCAAAAGTTTGAGTAAAAATTCCTTTTTGTTAAATTGATCTAAACTAGGGGTCTGCAACCATAATAAGAGAGGGACCTGTGCAAGGCTACGACTACTGATCAACCTGTAAATGAGAGCTAGTGTAAACCACTCAATAACAGGAAAGGCTAGCAACATGTGGAACTGCTCCCACTTGACTTAGCATTGTGTGGTCATTAATGTTATTTATAATAAATGTAGTTTTCCAACTTCTCTGAAATGTTTTAAAGCAAATTACATAATATTAATAATTTGATGCTAATTGAAAAGAATCAAATATATCCATTAGTATGTGTATTGGGTCATGAATATCAGCCTGCCATAAAAGGACACCATATTCAGACTCCAGCCCATCCTCCTATCACCAATAGCTTACCTGAGAGTTCCATAAAAAAAAAAAAAAAAATAAATAGTAAAATAAAATAAATAAATAAATACACATATATTGCACAGACTTGTAACACAAGCTGGGAATGCAATCCTAATATGCGGTACAACATTCTAAGCATAATTTATGTTTTGCCCTATGTATTTACAGTAACCCCCCTATAACTCGGAACATATGGGGCTCAAGGCCTTGCCGAGCTATCCCAAATTCCGACTCATTGAGGCACTTTCCCCCTCCTATAAAAATACAACAATAAACAGTTATCGACCCACCCACATATGTGTACATGTAATTACTAAATGTAAAAGAGTAACACTTACCAGAACTGCAGGCAAAGAATGAAGCATCATAGTAGGTGACACTGCCGAGTTATATGAAATTCCGAGTTATGAAATGCCAAATAATTGAGGGTTCCTATCCTTGCCTAATATATACTATGTTGTAACTGCAAAAGTAACTCCTTACACCTCCCCCATCCCTCTAGAACCAAACACCCTCCTCAAATCCCATATCCCACCACCAACTTACACACTGACCCTCATCATCCCCTGGACCGCTTCTCTCCTTCACTTGTGAATGCTTCAGATTCATGAGTCGATACTCTTGGGTTCACACCTCACGGACGAACAATGCTGACAGTAACAGTTGGAAAAGTCCCAAACTCTACATATGAACGATTCCTGCTCCTACTCAAGATTTTGTCCATGATGTAACATGTTTGGACAGGGTCCAAAAAATAATTTGAACTTTAAATTCTATTGTACATTGATATGTATGTTAAGCATTTGTAAATATATATGGTTTAAAGATCATAGCAGTTTAATTTTTTTCCTTCATAAATGACCATGTCTAAACATCATTTAACAATGCTCTCCTGGATGGGCTTTGCCTGAATGATTCCGCAGGTGAGCAGTTGCTTGCTCTCCTTCATTTTGATCATGTACAACAATCCAGGGTAAACTATATCTCAAGCATGGTTGTGAAGAGAGAGTACAAAAGCAGAACATATCAAGAATAAATACCAACAAATGTTGAAATATATTGGTGTGCATCAGCTCTTATTTCTGGCCAACCTGCATTATAAAGAAAGAAGGAAAGAGCGAAAGAATCATTTGAATCATTATATCAAATTAACTGAAAATCAAAAAGCAAATGTTCTCTCAGTAAGATTCAGTGCAGTGAAGCACATGCATGGAACTGCTCTAACCCATCCAGAGCCACTACATCTTTTAGACATATCCAACTACAGGTATGTGTGTAAATAAAATTGTCAAGACTATTTCAGAAGTGAGGAACAAAAGTTTCATTGGCAAGAGAAAAAATAATCCAATAAGTTTTCTTAAAGGTGGTGAAGACTAAGCAATCTTACTGTTTTCTTAGTGTTACAAGCTCTTTCCCACTACATTACCTATAATGCAGGATGGCTAGAATTAAAAGCTTTAGAAACTCCATCATTTGCCTTTTCTAACTACCTTACCAAATGTTTTATGCTATCAAGTCCTACTTCCGCTTTAGGAATTCATCTTGACATCAACACAAATCTAACAGTGGCTCTCCCACTCTAGGAGTCCCAGCAGGTTTTTAATAAAGGACTGTATATATTTTGTACACTATATGAGGAGCATCCTGCATGAATGAATGCAGGGAAAGCAAGTATAGATAACAAATATAATCCTGAACTTAAAAACATCAAAATCATACCCTTCTTACATACTTGGAAAATATGTGTTGGCTAGTTCCTTAAGTTCTGAGAATATTTGGCACATAACTGGTGGGCAACTGAGTGCAGAGTTGATGATGGCCTTCAAGATGAGGCTAATATACTCCTGTGAATTATAAGAAATTAATAGTAGAAACTGTTTTTGAATGCATTTCAAAGCAGTAAATACAACACTACAACACAGCATATATTTTAGTAAGACAGTAATGGTATGAGTATGAAAGTAAAAAAAAAATATACAGTACATGTAGACAAACCTTCATATTCATTCAATTCCAATTTGCACTTTATTATATATGCAGTAATAATGCCATTAGTTGGAATAATTGGTGCAGAAATGTTTTAGGAATGAGATTCCTGGATATGGAGAAAAATTTTCTCTTGACCAGAAAAAATTGCACATCCCTGGAATTTTTCTGGGTACAGTACAGGGGAATGTTTTCTGAGAGTTTAAACTACTCATTTCACAAGTACAGACACTATTGCAATCCCTGAAATTTTCCAGGTACTGTAGTGTACAGCATATACAGTCAATAAAATTAGCAAAAAAAACAACCTCCACTCCACCTTCGGTGGCGTACATTGCGAGTGTCGTATAATCACCTCAAGACTCGACTGCCTCATGATAATTTAATAATTAATAAGTACTGTACTTTACTAACATGTATTATGTGGTTCTGTTTTTAATAAACAGGTATACAGGTATTATAATGCAGCAATAATGAATGCCACACGAAACACTTTCTACTTCGAATGATTCTCGTATCACTCTCCTATTATATCAAGCCACAACCACAAGCAAAAAAGTGTATAAACTTTTATCCATAACGTGTTCTAAGGGTTTTTTACGGGCATTAGCCCACCTGGGCACAAATCACTGACCCACATTGGGGCCTGGGGGCGAAAATATAACAACAACAACAACAACAACAACAACAACAACAATAATAATAATAATAATAATAATAATAATAATAATAATAATAATAATAATAATAATAATAATAATATTAATAATAATAATAATATTAATACTCCTGGGAGCTCCCAGTTCACCTAGCTGTAAATGGGTACCTAAGTTTACAACTTGGGGAAGTGAATCGGCTACTTGTGCAATTAACCAGGCCGTTCACATATATTTATTATTTGGGTTTAAGTAACGAAACCCAAACTGTAGTTCCTGGTTTTATTATAAAAAGGATTGTATCTATAATTCCTGAGTGTAGATCGACCGTAAGTTCCACTGTATAGGAGTGAATGAGAAAAGGACGGCGTTTATGTATTATAAACGTTAGGTCACGTCCTTACGATATAACTTTCTGTGAGCGACTACTCGAGTAAGGGCCTCGCTGTGCGGGCTTACAGATATGCTGACAATGGGTCTCTACCCTCCTGGAAGAGTTGCCCTCTCACGTGTACAACTCATGTCTTACTCATAGACATTGGAAAGTTACAGGGTGGTGAATCTGAATATAATATCAGATGTATTGACCCATTTATATAATATGTTCTGTTGATGAGACAGGGGCCCATTACAGAAGTGAAGGCAGTCGAGTGCAGTACCAGCCATGCTGCCTCCTTGTGTACCGAAGACTAAGTATACAGTGTGTTGTACCCACACTGTCCTTAAAGGGCAGTCATGCCTATGGAACCCACTTTCACTTTTTCATGTCTCATATAGTCAGCTTGGTTAATTTTGGTTGCATAAGGTGTCTGAAAAACAGCTTCTACAAGCAGATGTATCCTACATTTAAAGTACCAAGTCTATGGAAAAATCAGGTTTATTTTTATTTCACTTTAAGTAAACATCCCTTTCATATACAGTAGCAAGGACTACCTGTACTTGAGTGAAATGCAACATGAGTAAAACTACTTGACATTTAAAGATCTCTAGAGATGACCAGTGGTCTCAAAATAAAGTAATTATTTAAAAATTTACAAACCTTAAGATTAGTTAGGTTAATTTCTCGACTCTCTCCCTGTTGCAACTTGGTGGGGTCAATTTCACAAGGCTTTCTTTCCCTGAAGATCAAATCTAGTGTTGGCTTAAGTGTTGAACGTAGGTAGTGATGACCAACAAGCTTCATCAGTTCATCAATACACTTTGAAACAAGTGTATTTCCACGAAATATTGTATTTGTGTCCCTGTAACAGAAACAATGCATAACTGAGTACCTATATGTACAAAATCTTAATTACTTAGTCCCACTGCCTACAACACATACAATGAATTTTCCCTATTCAGTAGAATAACAATGGAACAAAATCAATGCAAAGTGAACAGAAGTGGATCAGTTAAAAAAAAATGTTCTAGTAATTTTATTTTTAGCTTAAAATTATATAAGGCATTTATCTTTATTATATTTATTACTTTACTGTTGAAAGCAATTCATGAACAGTGTGAAGAATGGAAATTACTGTACGGTACGTCAAATACCTGTATACATGTATATTGTATCATATATTTGTTTACCTTACTGTAAGTTTCAACAAGACTACTGTACATAGAGGAAAATTTACCAATTAGATAAAAGGTCTTAAAAATCATGCTTAGCAACATGAGAGAGAAAGATATCTTAAGATTTATAGCTTCAGCTCCTTCGATAGTCAAGTATATATAGATCAAGTAAAATTTACAAAATTTGTTCCTTGAACAAACAAAACTTTAGCCTTAGAGCAAAATCTACTTACGTGACCTTTGATATTTCATGACGTGCAAAGGCAGAGACAAAAGCCACTACTTGGCCATGATGCAAGAAAACACGAGTAAGGGGCTGCACAACATCCTGCTTCTGAGGTACCACTTCACCCAGTAGCCACGACACAGACGATGTGATGGGCTGTAAATAAAAAAAAAAAAAATGTGCAACCTTGATATTCATGCTAGACATACATTTATATAACCATTGCACAGCCTTTCTTGAACCTTCCTTCTCGTCCTATTTAACTAAATTATCTGCAAAACTTTTTATGCTTTTTATTTGATAACTACAGTTACCAAACAATCTCTCCTTCTTTTTGTAATATTTATTCCTCCTCCATTTTTTAAGGGGTGGAACATGGTAAAAAAAAATTAAATAAAAAAATAATATTGCCCTCACTCATACCTTCAGTTGAGTTCCTAGAAAAGGCTGGTATAAGTGACAATGGTAAACACAAAGATATGATTCAATAGTAAGAGATGGCAATAAAGAAATCTGGTTGGTAAAAGGTAAACCATGTCAAAGTCAATTTGGTTATTGTGGAGCTCATATAATGAAGGCAACTTGTAAAGGAAAGTGCTGCAAGACAAGCATGGAAAGTTATGAGATATAACCAAGAAAATAAGCAGATATACCCACTAAACTAACAGACCCTAGGCCTGCATATACAGTTAGGTATGCAAAGTGAATTCTTGGTTTCCACATTACTTCACAATGCTTAAAGCTAATCACTATGCATAATTCAGTATGTTGATAATACATGGGTTTACATCCATTCCACAAGCATTTTTGCACAAAATAAAAGTAGCTATTCCACTAATTTTCAACACTCTCCTCTTTCGTAATACAAAAAAGCTGTTCTTACAATTTATCCAAAGGTCACCAACTTTTATCATATACTGTACACCTCAGTGGCACATTCTTTATGAATGAAAGTCTTGTTATACAGTGATATTATATTACCTAAGAGTTGTTGTTCCACAAGAGTGGCTATTTAATAAGGTTTCTATAAATGTAATGGGAACAAATGCATGCAATTCATAAACTGCATTCACTTGTCGAGAGGCTATGTAGACCAGCGGCGGCTCTCCCTCAGCTGGACAAAACTAGTCCACATTATTATTTTTAAAGTTTCTAAATAACCCAACAGTCCACTTTCAGTTAGTTTTTTTTTCACTTGGGAAAGTTATTCAGTTTTCTGTTTTACTTGAAATAATAATCGGATCATACAAATAAAAATATTTACTAATTATTTAAATGTTCAGCAATAGGATCATCGGCAACTTAACAGAGGTCCAGAGTTGTGCATGATGTCTTGACATTTTTTAACTATACTTTATTTCTAAATTACTGTAGATCACACTGAAAGCTTAATATTCTTTTGCCGTAAGTATTTTTGCATCCATTATTTAATGATTTATAATACCTGTAGATACTTTGTCAGATGCCACTGATATAATTTAAGAAATTAAGTGAAGCTGTAATTTAGATTCTTAATTAAATCGCAACTAGCCAAACATAAACAGTAGGAAATAGGCAGTATATAGCCTGGTGGCCTAGTCAATAGATTGGCGTTATGTTCAGTAACTAATCAGTGATGGTAAACTGCCCCCGTTAAAATCACGAATGATCAAGATTTTGAAAAATTAAGTGACGATGTGTTACGTGAGCCGAGATGAAAATGTTGTAGTTTGTGCACGTTTACTGAGCAAAAAACAATCCTCGGAGAGCTGAATTTCAATATAAGTAAATATTTCTTGACAGCAAAATGATTTGAGGCAAGATATTTAAATTTTAGTATACTGTACAGGGGCTCCCCTACTTACGAAGTGGTTAGGTTCTTGAGGTTTGTTCGTAAGTCCAACATTACTCTTATCAATACTGAATACTGTATACAGCATTGTAAAAAAGGGTTGTACAGGCAGCTATATACCCCAAATAATACTCGACAGTATTTCTTACCAGCCTTAAACGGTATTTTAATGTATGAATAGCATGTATAGTAATAATAAATAAACACTCACCATGTTTAGCCTTTAAGTATTCAAAGAGATTTATGGCCTTCCGCTGAATTAGGCTTATGGGCATGCAGTGCTGATGCTGGTCTTCCAACCACACACTCAAAAGTTTTTCCATCTGCGATCACCGAGCCTCTTTTCTTACTAATGATCGTGGAATGCATTGGCACAGAACCTATCACATGTTACATAATGGGCTCTTTGTCCTTCAAAATTGTCCCAACAGTCGAACGATTCATCCCAAAAGCATTTGCTATGCTTAGCATTTTCTCACCTCTTTCACAACACTTTATAATGTCCACCTTAGTAATCAACGTAATAGTGCGACGCTTCTTACTATCATCATCACCACTGGCATCACTCTTACGCTTCTGAGACATGTAGGGGTCAATAATATTCGTCAAAGCCACAAATAACACCGTGAGGCAGCAGAGGAACACAACAACAACGACGCTACGGATACAGGGCGACGCTGAACAGCCAATGCCATCTATCGCGCGGCGATTAAACTTACAACCCAGCGCAGTTTTCAAACAGGCAATTGGACATATGGACGGGTGTGTTCGTATCTCCGAAAGTTCGTAACTCGAATGTTCGTAAGTAGGGGAGCTCCGGTACGTAGTTTCTTATGTGTTTATAAAAGCATGACAACTATTATTTAGAGAAAGGCCATATGCTACTTGATATTTGATTTGATAACTGATTATGTGGGTGTATCATCAGTACAACCACAGTACACCACTGGTATACCTCTTACCATTCAGTAATGACTATACCAAACCGACTCCACATATTTTCCCTATGCAGTATCCCCTCTTCTAACGGGCTCCCAAGTTCTATCTTTCCACTACATCTCTAGTCTTCTGTATCACCAGTCTTTTTGTATCACACTGATGTACTGTAATAGGTATCCTGAAGGAGTTGCCAACTTGTAGTGACAGACTATCAGTATACAAACAACTTTGCAACTGGGCCAAATCAAAGGAAGTTTGTGATTGGTCGAGTCATGCTGGATAAATGTGTACACGGGAGGTGAAAAAACAACAAATGCCACTTATTGCTTTAACTTTTTTTTTCCACTATGTACAGTAACTAAAACATTTTTTTTCATTATGTACTCTTAAGTTATTAATGTGCTTTACATGCAAATTTAAATTTCCTGGCTTCAGTTACCCTTCATCCAGCTAGTCGGCTGCATTGATAATTCTGTTCAAGACCCTGGTTGCAAAGCTAATGTGAACCTCCAGAGTATAGGTACTAAACACTCAAAACAAACACTTTAGTCACAATTCCTACATTGATAATTTTAATTAGGTTATATGATTATCACAGTATGGAGTGAATACAGCTGAGATAAGCCCTTCAGGTGCTACTAAAAATGCGGAAGAGCTGCCGTGTTTTTTAAGCATACACAATTAGGCAGAGAAATTGTAAGTTTGAAGTTATCATCTGGCTTCTATTAACACAGTCAGGCAATGATTCGAACCATCCTTGTAAATTTATAAATACAATATTCCCGTCTATGCAGCAAAGCATTCTTTGAAAAAAAAAAGAATAAAAATTACTTACCTGCTCTTGTACTGTATATACAATACATTATACACACCCAACCTATACTCTTCCATTTATTTCTACAAACATACTGATTATTTATCTACAACCCAAAATACTATTTCCTTCAATAACTGGTTTACGGGGATCTCTTTGCGCTGAAGAAAATCATCTGGCATTGACCAGATGAAATATTAAAGGTGGCATCCTGTAGTGGAGATAGTTTATTAACCCCTTAGGAGGGTGTCTGAGCTGAGTAAAATTATCTGGCATTAACCGGATGAAAAATTAAAGGTCACATCCTGCAATGAAGGGGTTAACAAATGTGCTGGACTGCAGATTAGAAGCGGACTGCTTATTTTTACCTAAAATATGGTTAACCTTTAGAAATCTATTCTTCAGTATCTTTTCCTCTCTTCAGTCAAACTTACCTCAATCCCAGTGCTTTGAAGGATGAGGTTTCGTAGAGAATCATAAGACTGACTAGAGAAAACATGATCGGAGGTATAATGAAGGTTTAGCCTCAGGGTTCCAAGGTCTCCCCTTTGGTGCTTTCCTGCTGAATCTCTTGGCTGAAGAAAATACCTGAAGAAAACCAAGTATGTATGAACAAAACTTTAAAAAAACAAATTTGGTTATAGCTGTACCTAATAATCTTTAATCATTCATTTCTTTGGCTCATATATTTGCCCTACACAACAAATACACTCACCAAGCATTGTTTTCATCACCGGGCAGCATATCATTGAGGGGAATCTTGACTTCCCCAAGAAAAACATTCCCAAACACGCCTGGAGAATCATGCCACAGAGCAACTCGAACTTCTTGGAAGCCAGCATCCTCATCTACTAAACTGTACATGTTCTCTCGATCCTGACTCCCACTTCTTTGGCTACTTTGCTGCAATTAAAAGAAATATACAGTTGAACCTCAATAAATCGGACTAATTGTGGCAGACCCCAGTCCGAAAAAAGCAAATACTGTATATGGGAGAGGTGATATAAAACTGTTCATCTGAACTGTTTAAAGAAAATCATTTGTTTTTACATTATCACCGCACTTCAACAACTAAGGTCTTCAAGCATATTACACGGTTATTAAAAGACTTACATTAACAATGTATGGTTGTAGACAACTGTTTTCACCGAGATAATTGTTATTTACTGTAGTGTTATATGTAAGTAACCAAAGAATTTGTCTTATGGATAAAGAAAAAACTGCATACTGTACAGTACTATAAAGAGAAAAATAAGAAGTGAAGGAGTATATTGTGTGTGGAAGACGAATGTATATCTGGGACCAGCAGGCAGAGGGGAAGGGCCGAAGGTAAGTGGGTGGGTGGCCCCCTTCCCCTCTCTCCCTCCAGATACCTTTAACATGTCTTGATGACAAAATGCAATGGAGTTTCATTGAAATAAAGTTGTTTGGTATACTGTACTATAAAGATGCACTACAAATGTTATGTATTAAATTTAGATTTGAATAACATATCTTCACCACTTTTTCTTCTCACTATTCCTACTCAAAGGCTTGGCTGTGAATTCAGGCATGATCCAAGTTATCTCTTTTACTTTGTGAGAGGTGAATCAAGGGGTACAGAAATCTAAAAAACAAAAGGGGAGAGAGAAAAAATACTGAAGGAGAGGAAGGCATAAATATGGAAAGAGACAGAAAGGTTTCACATCTTACCTCAAATATGAATACTTCATCAAACCTTGGTGATATGGTTTTCTTCTTAACCTTTGTTCTCTTGGATTCTTGTTTCTTATTTGTGTAGAGCATTGTAACTATTGCAAAAGGATCACATGAACCACTGTTTATTGCCAAGTCACTACATTCTTGAATTCTGAAAGAAAAACAATGAATTGATAAGGGATATTCCATCTTTTTTTTTTTGGAAAGAGATTAGCCCACCCAGGCACAGGTCAATGACCCACAACGGGGCCTAGGGGCCAAAAATTAAGAACAGAAAGAAATTAAAAGTAGAAAAGGAAAAGGTTATATTAATCTATAAAGCGAAGATGCCGGAAGACCAGCTTTTTAAAGTGAGACATTGTATGAATATGGAACCACAGAAGAAGGCAGAGCATTCCACAGTTTGGCTTTGTGAGGAAAGAAGGATGCACTATAATGGGTTATTCTAATGTGACCGACATCCACAGGGAAAAGGTGGGCACTGCGGACAAGACGTGTGTTATGAGCCCACGGCCTTGCCGGCGGTACACAGGATGCCAGATCCACTGAACATTGCCATTGAAGTACCTGTAAAAAGAGAGAGTGAAGCAACATTGGGGCAAAGAGAAAGGGAAGAAAGATTGTCAACTAAAGGAGGAGAGTTAATAAGACAAAATGCCTTTGATTCCACCCTGTCTAACAGTTGGACAGAAGAAGAGCCACCCCAGATATGAGAGCAGTACTCCAAGTAAGGAAGATTGAATCCCTTATACATTTGAAGCAACTGCTCAGGAGTGAAGTAGCTATGGCATCTATACAGCATTCCCAACTTTCGGGAGGCAGCTTTAGCAATGTTGAGGATGTGTGGCTTCTATGATATATTAGAGGAAATGGCGATGCCTAGCATATCTATTTTAGAATATGGCAGAATGATAGCGTCCTGAAATGTGATTGGTGGAGATCATATAATTTGGAAAGTGTAATTGGTAAATACTGAGTTTTATTATTATTGAATTTAACCAAGTTTCTACCTCCCCATTCGGAGATGCTGCACAGATCCGCACTGATAGATGATATCAGCTCTAGGAACAGATCTAGTTTGAGAGTTAGGGGGAAGGGAAAAATGTGAAGAAGAGTAAAGAGTAGAATCACCAGCGTAAGAATGGACAGAATTAGTTGTAGTGTGAAGTAAATCATCAATAAAAAGAAGGAAGAGAGTAGATGAAAGAACAGAACCCTGTGGGACACCACTATTGGTAGAGAGAGAGCGAGAGATTGATCCCTCGACAGCAACTGCAATAGATCGGTTCCCAAGAAAGCTAGAGATTAGAGAACAAAGTGGGGGAGAGAAACTATAAGAGGGAAGTTTAGAAAGCAAGGACTTGTGCCATACCCTGTCAAATGTTTTGAAAATGTCGAGGGCCACGAAGAAAGTTTCCCCATAATCCAAAGAGAGGATGACCAAAGATGGCTGCAATAGGAGAGCAGATCACCAGTAGATCTCGCCTGGCAAAAGTCATACTGGTAATCTGACAAAAGAGAATGGCGTTCAAAGTGACGGAGAGTCAGTACAAGAAGACCCATGCAGTGTATCCTTAAAGTATATGGATTGCCAACCCAGGTTACCATTTATGGCAAGAAACTGCAAAAGTCACAGCCACAGCAGACTGTTCAACCTGGTCTTCCTTAGTCATTCATCAGCCATGTTGTATTTTTAGTAACAAATCTTGGTCCAGCTAAACTTCAAAATAAAGTCATTGGGAGGAAAGAGGGTTTATGAGTCTTTAGTGTTTTTTTACATAAATAAAGCACAAGGAGAGATAGGACACAAGCTGCTGTCAAATCTAGTCACAAAGGCATCCTCAATCCAAATTGGTTAAAAATAGAATCTCTTGTATCAAACAATCATATATTCATGTCAGTCCAAGGATACTTATGCATCTGCTATCAGGTAGAAAAAAAGGAAGCACCAGAAAAAATCCATACTACTGTGACCCACACCCTAGGAGTGTTGGCAGGTGGTAACTAAATAGCTACATTATGACAGTAAGGCTTGAAATCAAACTCCCATTGCTCACCTAATAGTCAAATCCTAACTTAACCTAACTAGAATGGACATTAGGGCCATTTTTCTTACATATATGATCACTTTGTGATGTTCCTTTGAACAAGAACCCATCAAACACAGCCTGGTTGCCTGGGTTAGACATCTGCCTAGACATTGAAATATTAGAAGCAACACAAGTAAACGAGTATATTACCTGCTGCCTTCTGTTATATTAGGGGTCGTGCTCCTAGAGGAGGCTGGTAATAAGCAAAAACTATATAAACAAAGATAGCTTTCCAAACATTGATCTCCCCTTTGACAAATATTGTGTTCTGTATTAAGTTTTCATGCCTGCAGTACTGCAAATTTTATTGCATTACATAATGAATGAGTATATTGCACATGTGGCTGATAGGGAGTATGTTATACTGTACTGATGTCAGAGCTCCCAAACAGATGGTTGTTTCATTGTCGTGAAATTATGAAAAATGAGGTAAAAATGGGGCTTGAGCTGTGCAGTATAGTTTTAATGTTTAATCCATTTTATAACATTTAGAAGTATGTAATCATTGAGATTAGAAATTTCAGACAGTAACCGAACTGTGACAAATTAATATTTGCACAGTAACAAATTATGGAGGTTTTAGTGTACCTGTATATGTTATGGGAAGAAAAATGGAAAAGTGGCGATAAGACATGAAAATGTGGAAAGGATATACTGTACTGTACAGTGCAATAGATATACTGTACAATAATGTGAGATTTAGAAACGAGGAAGGCCAGGATAACCTCGAATGAGGTGATCCAGGGAATTGAAAAAAATATACATTGAGGAGAGTATAAGTGTCCAAGAATGTGAATGGACTATGTACTAATCAAGTTTCCCTAAAAATTCGTAATTGCATTACTAACAAGCTACAGAAATACACCTATCACATAAAATAAATCACAGGTAAACAGAGTAAACTTACTTGATTTCCACATTGTGCTGTGGGTATCCATCATTCATTTGTCTTATCTGAAGTAATCGAATTTCAACATGAACTTTGCCCTGAAACACGATCAAAATGAAAATGTTATGCCTCCAAATATTAATGCAGCTTTCAGTCAATTTGTTAAATCTGACATGCAATGATGTAAGAGTTTATAATTACCGTATCTCTAAATAATATACAGAGGTCCCTCAGTTAACGAGCGACTCGGTTAACGAGATTTCGGTTAACGAGTTATCTTCCATAAGATTCTTAACTTCAGTTAACGAGCAATCCCTCGATTAACGAGTTTCTTACGAGCCGACCTCAACATGTTTTCGCTTGCATTTGGCGGTCCACCAGCTGTAGTATTAGTCCGCCAATATAGTAATCAGTTCTAGGGCTTAAATTCCTTACTATTTTAGTAATATCAAGAAGTTTATACTACTCAATAATTTTAAAAGTTTAATATTGAAGTTTTTATTCATTTTAACAATTATTGAACATAATTGAAGCACAGGAAACTAGTTTTATGCGCGCCAAAGAGCCTGTCAACACACCAAACAGGCGTCAGTCTCTGTGTCTTTTCAGTGGAGGAAGCATCTTGCTTGAGACTCTCTTCAACTAAACACTTTTTTCTGTGTTTCCAAACAAATTATTGGTCATTTTGAAATTTATTTTACATATTGACAATATATAATGCAGTGCAGTGTTGATTTAAAGAAAATAATCTTGAATTACACCAAGAGAACAAAAATTTTATGGGTGAAATGGTACCATGAGGTGACTTCTCTTCCACCCCAATGCCTTCTCTTCTCCCTTCTCCTCCACCCCCATTCTAATTCCCATTATCATCATCCAGGAGCCTTCTACATACACACCTCAAAGTAAGTGTACTTTTCTACCTTTTTTGTTGCATTTAGGCAATTTTCGGTTAACAAGTTTTTCGGTTAACGAGCAACCTTCTAGAACGAATTGTGCTCATTAACCGAGGGACCACTGTACTACAAAAGTGCAGAACAGAGTTGTTTGAATATACACACGATTCCTGTTCAGATTTATAAGAACAAAATGAACTGAAACACGATGTACTTTTGTGAGAAATCCAAAGCACAACAAGTCTCCATGAGTAGTAAGGAAAATTTGGATTTGTGAAGTGATAGTCACTTATCAGAACAAGAATTAGGACCAAACAATACACACCCCAAAAGGTGCACATCAGTGTGGTATGATGTAAATCCAGTAAATAAATACAAATGGTAAAAAGTGGGACAAGAAAAGACAAAATCAAACAGTCTGTAAATTTAAGCACATCACCTAGAAGCATACAAATAACTTAACTGTATGTTCTTTACATTAATCTGTTTACAGCTTTATATTAAATGTTAAAATTTTAATAGAAATGTGCACAAATCAGTCAGTAAAAAAATATCATCAGGTAATCTAAAGATGTACAACTTTTGAACCATCTCACCTGTACTTCCGAGTCTGCATCCACCGGTGTAATGGGGAACCACTGGTCTTTGCCATGGTATTTGTGTAAATTATCCTTCTTAATTGACACCTTTCCCATAATTCTGTCAGTCTTCATTGGGCGATCACGATCATATAGATAAAATGAGAGGAACCGGAACTCACGTGGAATGTCAAACTGGAACTCTTCACCAAAGAAGGCTGAAAGGCTGCAATGATTAGATCCAATTAGTCATTCTTTAGTAAATGAAATGAAAATTCCCCTGACTATTTTATGAACTGGATTCACCCCTGATCCATAAAAAAATAGCATAATTAATTGTAAAAAAACACACAGAGAGAGAGAGAGAGAGAGTGTGTGTGTGTGTGTGTGTTGAAGGAGGTGTCTTTATACAGCTATGCCTACCTAATCCATAATGCACACATTTGCACCACAACTGATGGGACATCACCTTGGATTCCTGAAGTGACTCCTCATAATCAGTACCCTGCTAACTACTCAATAACCCTGGGGAAAAGAGAGGGTAACTATGCTTCTTGGTTATGAGCTCAGTTATAAAATTGAATTTCAACATCAATCCTCCATTCCTAACAAGCAGCTCTCAAAACAGCAGCCAGCTAGAATAGAGGGAGGTGGTGGTACTAGAAGGGCTCCAAAAGTTCAGATAGAAGCTTAGCATTAAAACTAAGTAAGGCCAACTAAAAAATTGGTAACCCCTAAGTCCCCCACATCTTCAAGTTCAATATTATTCCCGGAAATCAATGTACACTCGCACCAATAAGTATCGGTGCAGGGTGTGATCGACAACTTCCGAAACGATACGTATACACTGTGATATGTCGGGAAGGTTGGTAAGTGTATCCTCATAACCCCCCTCCCCCCAATAGGTGTTGCCAGATGGCTGACAATCAGTGTGTTTGTTTCCTCTTTTCGGATTGTTGCTTTGTGTCGACTGAATGATGAGCGAGGGTTCGGTGTTGGTGAACGTGGGTATAAAACAGAGGCAATATGAAGCAGTAGAGATCTACACATGCCAGACGACATGGAAACCTCAGAGGGAACACGAGGAGCTATTATTGCCCTTCATAACAAAGGGTTCGGCGTCACAGATATTAGCCGGCGGTTTGGTGTCCACAGGAACACCGCTGCACGATGGATTCGGCGATACCTCGAAATTGATGCTACAGACGACAGGTCTCGGAGCGGCCGTCCACGCTGCACCACCCCTCAGGACGACAAGGTTGAGTGGTTTATTTGGTAGCATAAAATAATGTGGCAATATTCACAAGTATCACAAATAATTTTGTTAACAGGGAGCTCCTCATATTTCATACTGTCTATTTATCACTTCCCGACCTTATTTATAACGGTTTGTTTCACTTGACCAGGCCATAGTAGCTGCTCAGCAGGGTTACAGGGCTGCCAACAACGGCTGGAACAACTCGCCTTACCCAATACCTATCGTCACTGGTCTCAAATTGTTCACACTACAGTATGCACCGATACTTTATGTTGCGAGTATACAATAACTCGATCAATCAACGTTCATGGTGTCCTGTAGTATGAACCTCAAACACTTCTTATGAAACTGGTCATGTGAAATCATTTCTCACAACATATCACACCTAAACCGCGTCGAAGAATTCTGAAAGATAAGTGACATACCTTAATAAATACCCGAGAGGAAGATTACTCCTTAATCAAATCCAAAATATGCAGAAAAGTTAAGGAGCTGTCACCCAATCAAAAATTGCACTTAATACTAATAAATACAGAATTCCAGTCTTGTCTTTATAATAACTTGAACTGTGGCAAATTCTACCAACTACCATCTTAAAATGCAAGAAGACAAGGCAAGCCTGTAAGTGTGAAGGTTAAGAGAACATGACGACCATCCAAGGAAAGTATCTGGAGAATGAATAAGGAGTCAATCCTGGGATTCAGTGTTGTGTGGAAAGTGTACTAACATGGTGGGCATAAGTCTATTAAGAACTCCCATACCAAGCGAGAATATTCAGTTTCAATATCCATTTCTAATGGCTACTGTTAAGATATTAAGTAATGGATAATCATAAGATCGGTCTCCAGCTATCAACAACAAGAGTCTAATGGGTCTATTGTACTGTTAAGTTGTATCATGAGATCTGCTAGGTAGAGATCATTAGATTAGAATAGTTATCTATAAAACTTGTTTTGCACTCAATTGGTCAGAAAAGGTGAAGAATATTCTACACATTTACTCCACATAAACAGCCACCCCTTTCCTTACATTCACTCCAATTACATCTGTATATTTTAGTCTTGTGTGAGGTCTACGTCGCACTCCTGGCATACCCCATTTACTTAATCACTGAATTAATTCATTTTAGCCATATCCAGTTCCTAAGTTCCTCTGGTGTGTTGACACCATCTGAACTTCCGTGTATAATATAGTTAGCATCCTTTATGTTATATCCCCACAGTTGTGTAAAGTGGCAACCACTAAGCAAAAAGGGCTAGCATGCCCAGTATATAAATCATACAAAATAACATACTTTCAACCAAGCTTAGCCATGCCATCTAACTCACATTTCATAGATAATAGTCAAAGCCCATAAAGTGAGCTATGGCTTTCTTATAATTATCTACAGCCACATCATGAAACTGGCAATATGTGATGGCACACTCTTCCCATCCCATCACCCTCTGATCAAATTATTTGGGTACTATTTCACTTGTTGCCACTAAATGAATCTCGGGAATTTTATAGTTGCAATCAGTAACTTTGACATTCTAAGACACTTTTCTTCAATGGCATTCCTGGCAAAAACTACGCTTAAGCGAGATATTTAACTTTTTATTATGTATGCTCGAATGTGGCCGTACTCACGAAAAACATCAAATGACCGTGGAGCTCCCCAGTTAGGTTAGGTTAGGATTTTGTTTTTCGGTGTTTTGAACACTTTGTACCTTGATTTTTATAACAAATCTCTAGAAATGAAAGTCAAATTCGTTCATCAATAACCACCGGAAAAACAAAGTTTTAACTTCGAATTCGTATAGTGGCAACAAGTGAAATTTTAACATTATTTTCTACTTGACTTTACTTTGAAAAAAAGAACTCACTCTAATGTCTTTTCTGCTGTCGCTGATCGAAATATTTCTTCTTGGTCTAGGGAAATTGCACAGTAAACATCACGCTGACCTGAATTACCATGGTTACGGAGTACAAGATTTTTGGCTTCACCTGAAAATGAAATAAAATGTAGACTAAAAATTATGCAAAATTAGAAAATATTTTAATGGGATCTAATATTTTCATCAGATTTTTAAACCATCAACATGAGAAAGTGACTAAATTTGAATAAAGCATAATCAAATACCATATAGTACTGTACAGTACCCCTCAAAACACAAGGGTTATTCTCAATTATTTCCCTAAATAATAAAATGTCAAGGGAGAGATCAGTCATTGTCAAATTTACTGATCGTAGCATATCCATTACAAAAACCTGAATCAAAATCAAGCAAAATAATTTTAACTGAGTGATGAATTTTGGATCCACAATAGACATTACCTTTCCCAAATTAATATTGGTGTCACCAATGTTACCTATATTTAAATCTTTTCAATGGGAAAAAGTCTCTTAATTTAAAAAGTAATCATGACAGACCAAATCTAAGATATTAACTCCTATGTACAGTTGTGTACTTTATCCAAATCCTTGTTTTTAACTATGTATACCTAAATTTGGGAGAATAATTCAATCCAGTTGCACCATAATTAGCACACATACATTTCACTGTTTTTTAAATAATCACGATAATTTTAATGAGAGATGAATGCTTCCTGTCCTTATCTTTACTCAAACAATGCAGCAGGTGGTTTAGTCCTACATTTCTAGGTCACACACACCTTGTTTCCTTGCCATTTCAACATCAAAAGACATCCCCTGTCACTTATACCAAAGCTTTAAACTGATCATCTGGTGGCTGCCAGGGATGAGCCTCGGTGTTACAGTAATACACCCAAGGATGGTTATTAACGTCACCTCGGTTCATTCAGTGACAGTCAACAGACCATCACATCCAAAACAAACTTTTACAAGGTCCGTTCTTAATGGGAATTCAATATATTTCTCCTATTTTTTACTTCTACATTTTATCGAACACAATTTTAAAGTACAAATAAGACGTTTTTGAGATTAAAAACTAATTGTCATACCTATTTTAACCCTTAATCTCTGCTCTAGCCTGACTTGGCCAGGCGAGGCGGCCATCTTGCTCCATCACCCAGCCCTGCCAACACTCCCGACCCCTACACGGTCACCTTATGGCTCTGGCTTTATCTTACATTAAACAACTACTACTGAAAAGTAGTTCCAAATAATTGTTATTAACTGTCTTTATAATAAAAAATCGACTATAATTTACTGATAGACAATAAAGTAATTATGATTTAATATATGGCATTATTTATATTTTCCAATGTAAGATTCGGTACACTCGGACTAGAGGGTTGATGACACGCAGCCAGTAGTATAGTAGAGAGAAAATGGGAAATTCATTCACAAATGGGAGCAGACAGGCTAAACCAACAAACTTATTTGGTTGACCATCACCACAAACAATTAATTCTCTTTTATAAGACAACACCAGTAAGAGCACGACCAATACCTAACTTGATAATCCCTTACCATTCCAACAAACTGAAAACATTATAACTTAGAGGTGTTTATGAACCGAATAACACTATTGTTTCATCACTTCCCCTGTTGTTTTTTATAAACCATAACGCAACACGAGAAATACAGTTAATGTTGGAGTATGGTTAATATAATATTTGTGCCGGAGATGTGTACAACACAGAAAAATAGCTAAGCAGAATTTTATAAAAAGAAAGACCGCTGTCCTGACTACCTGTAACTCTTCTTCTGGTCCTTGACCAAAAACATGTGTAATAACTTTTGCACTCCCCTTTTCCTCCTCTCTCCTGACCTGATAACTCTACAGCCAACTCTCCCCTTGATAAAGCCAATCTCTCCGGCACTTTATTCTCCTCTAACTCCACCTTAGACGATCCCAACCCTATCCCTCCTACTGAACCTATGCATTTTCCTATAATCTCCACTCGTAGGGTTGCTGGTGTTACCCAGGTTGGATTTGACTAAGGCGCATGGACCGGACGGAATACCCCCTCGTGTTCTGAGGGAGTGTGCTGAAATTCTAGCCCCTGTGCTTATTCGCCTCTTTCGCCTTTGCCTCAAAACCCAAACTTTTCCTTCTTCTTGGAAGCATGCCTTGGTTCAGCCCATCCCGAAGGGTGACCATTCTAATTCCTCTAACTATCGCCCCATTGCCCTAACTTCATCCCTTTCTAAGATTTTCTAAACTATCTTAAGCTCTCATTTTCTCCGTCACCTTGAACGCCTTTCTCTTTTGCCAGATCACCAGTATGGCTTTCGCCAGGCGAAATCTACTGGTGATCTGCTCTCCTACTGCACGCATCTTTGGTTATCCTGTAGCGTAAGTATCTGGCGCACTTACTCAAATTTATCTTTCTTTAGGACTACAAACACACGTACATAAAGGAGATCTCGCACTCAGGATGGAGGTGAGGAAGGAAACTCAGAATAGCGTTAACTCCACGTATATTGTATGTACAATGCAGTAGGATGCTGGGGTGTTATTTACATTAAGCCTCTTCACCACTGATCGGCTCGTTAGCCGCTTGGGCAATCGGTCACGTCTCTGATTACTTTTCCTTTAATCCTCTTTACCAAAAGATCGGCTCGTTAGCCGCTTGGGCGATCGGTCATAAGAACATAAGAAAGTGGGATACTGCAGGAGGCCGACTGGCCCATACAGGGCAGATCCCTTTCACACCCATCCCAGCACTTCCATGTGCCTATCCAACTTCGTCTTGAAGCTCCCCAGCGTCCCCGATCCTACTATAACACTCGGTAGCCTATTCCACATATCCACAACTCTATTACCAAACCAGTGCTTGCCTATATCCTTTCTGAATCGGAATTTATCTAATTTAAAGCCATTTGTTCTAGTTATTTCGTTATTACTGAGCTTCAGAACATCTTCCATTTTACCCTTGTTAATCCCACTTACCCACTTGTACACCTCTATCATATCTCCTAACTCTACGCCTCTCAATGAATGTAAGCCTAAGCTTTTCAGTCTTCCTTCATATGGAAGGTTTCTAATATTATGGATCATTTTTGTCATTCTTCTTTGTACTCTCTCCAAAGAATCTATGTCCATTCTATAATAAGGACACCAGAACTGAACCGCATAATCCATGTGTGGCCTCACTAATGCTAGGTAAAGTTTCAAGATAACGTCAGCAGTTCTGTTACTCACAGACCTAGATATGAACCCAAGAATCCTGTTTGCCTTGTTGCGAACGCTAATACATTGTTTTCTAGGTTTCAAGTCGTTGCTAACAAATACACCTAGATCTTTTTCACAAACTGAGTTTTCTATTTCCGGCTCCTGAATGTACCTGAACCTGCTCCAGTGCTTGTCAAGTCTTGTCTTGAAAGAGCTCACACTCGGTGCTGTCACAACACTTTCTGGTGCATTGTTCCAAGAGTTCACAACTCTCACTCCGAAAAAGTTTGTCCTCACAGTTTTCTGGACTTGCGGCTTCTTCAATCTTGAGCTGTGACCTCTTGTGGGGCGAGCGTCTGCCAGCTCCAAGTAAGGACACTCAACTGAGTAGTGCCCTTTGAGATGCTTATACACCTCAACTAGGTCAGCCCTCGCTACTCACCCAACAGGTCCTCTAAGCAAGCTTCTCACCACATGGCAACTCCCTAGCACTGCACTGTACTTACAATATATAAAGAAAACGCAATTGTGAGTTTCTCCCCTACTTCGTCCTGAGTGTGAGATATCTTCTGGCCACACATTCAGTACGCTACAATTGGTGACCCCCGGAGCTGTGAACACCACACTCTCTCTCTCTCTGCTGCCGTGCCCCCGGAGCTGTGAGGACCGCCCTGTCTACTACCATGGACGACAAACGGATCTCTCTACCAACCTTCAACCATAACATCGAGGACTGGTTAATTCATGTTGAGGCAGCCCTTACCGGATCAACAGCTAATGACGCGCAAAAGTACGTCGCCCTGCTCTGTTCACTGCCCATGGAAGTCGCCACGCAAGTCTCGGAGATCATTACCAACCCTCCAGCTGACAACAAGTTCGGTGTCCTGCGGGATGCTCTGAAGACGCGTTACCACACCAGTCTTCTCCAAACCCTAACGTCTCTCTCCCTCGGCAACTCAACGCCTGCACGTCTCTGGGAGTAGATGTGTAGACTGAACTCCCGGCACACAGACAGGCTTCCCGACACTGTCCTGCGTCAGCTCCACACACAGAAGCTTCCCACACAAGTTTGCATCGCCCTGTCCGCAGTAGATTACTCTACGACACCAGAACTCTACTGTACGCAACCTCGGCAGACAGAATATTCAACGAGTGTGCTGCTGCACACCTTGCCGCCGCGGACAACCCAATGACCAAACCAGTACTTACCTCCGAATTTGTAAACCTGGTCAGCACCCCTCAGCCGAACAATACCTCACAAGACATCAGGGACCTGTTGCAAACTTTGAACCGCAGGATGGACACCATTGAACAGCTCTGCTCCCCCATGCCTGCTGCTGGGCCTGTTCCTGACTCACGCACCGCGTCCTACAAACCCCGACGCCTCCTTCCTGCCCCGGAAACCGCCCCCAGCACAACGGATCTACCCTCTGCTGGTATCACAGACGCTTCGGCGCCAATGTTCGACACAGAGAGCCCCACTGCACCTACTCGGGAAACGGCAACAACGGGGATTGGTAGACGCCACAGCCTCCGTTACTTCAGGTGTCTCTTTACTGCATATCACCGACCGCATCTCCGGCGTGAAATTCCTAGTCGACACAGGTTCATCGGTCAGCATCATCCCTCTCTCACTTCAAGACACATCAAAGCAACCCTCTTACGACTTGTTTGCTACCAACGGTACCCCCATCGCCTCCTTCGGCACACACATCCTTGCCTTAGACCTCGGTCTTCCCAAGACTCTGCGCTGGTCGTTCGTGGTGGCAGACGTCTCTCAACCCAACCTTGGCTTTGACTTCCCCACCTTCCACAAGCTCGTCGTCGACCCAAGCCACCTCTGCCTCCTCCATGAGCCTACAGCACACACGATCCGGGGTACACGTGCCGTAGCCGCCGACACTATCACCTGCCTCTCGCCGACCAACGAGTTATCCCCCCTGCTCGAAAAGTTCAAGAAACTTTTCTCACCACGAGTCTTACCCTCACCACCTACGTCAGGAATTTTCCACCACATCGAAACTAAAGGACCTCCAGTCTTCTCACGCCCCCGCTGCCTGCGCCCCGAGCTCCTGAACATAGCCAAGGCGGAATTCAACAGACTCCTGCAAAACGGAATCATTCGTCCTTCAAAGAGTCCCTGGGCATCGCCTCTCCACATGGTCCCAAAGTCATCATCCAACGACTGGGGGGTATGTGGTGACTACAGGGTCCTGAACCTCGTCACCAAACCCGACAGGTACCCTATTCCGCATGTCCTGGACTTCCACCACAAACTCCACGGAAAGACCATCTTCTCGAAGATCGACTTGGAGCGTGCCTTCCACCAGATCCCTGTAGCACCTGCAGATACCCAGAAGACAGCCATCACCACTCCGTTCGGTCTCTTCGAGTATGCCTTCATGAGTTTTGGTCTATGCAATGCAGCCCAGACTTTCCAGAGGTACATGGACCACATGCTTTGCGACTTCGATTTTGCCACTGTCTACATAGACGACATTCTCGTCGCATCTCAGATGCCTGCCGAGCATCATCACCACCTACAGCTCCTTCTCCAACGCCTGCAGAACAACAACATGAGAGTTCACCCTGCCAAGTGTGTCTTCGGAGCCTCCTCCATCGACTTCCTTGGTCACAGAGTCTCGCCGAGTGGCATCCAACCCCTACCACAGAAGGTAACTGCCATTAAGGAGTTCCCCAGACCTGAAACGGCGAAGAAACTCCGAGAATTCCTACCACCGCTTCATTGCCAACACCGCCACTGTCCTAGTCCCCCTCTACGACCTTCTCAAGTGGGATTTAAATTTTTTTCTGTAAGTATAGTATGCACTAAGCATGTGCTTTGACTTGCGTACATTTTCGGCATAAGAACGTTCTCAGGAACGGAACCCATTTGTAACCCAGGGACCCCATGTACATAAAAGATACACTAAAAGTCAACTGATGATTTTCATCCTACAATTGATGGCAAAGCAAAGGCACATGTAAAATAAATTAAAGAAAAATGACA